TGAGCTCAGGGCTGACACCGCTCCCCCGCCTCGCCACAGGGCCCGGCTCTGGAAGAGGCCGGCCTGCCAGGGGGATCCCAGCCCCGGGAGGGTTTGCACCGCCCCAGGGAGGACTTCTCTGCTGGCCACCTTGCCACGGCAGAGGTCCCGTTGGGTGCCTTGGGCAACAAATTCCAGCTCTGTGACCCAGCCCTGCCTTGGCGACCAAAGCAGGGGTGCACTGGGCTGCTCAGGGGGGCTTTGCTCATGGTATGCTGGGGTCGAAAAAGCCATGGAAGCGAGAGCTAAGGGCTCTGCTCCACTGAGCTCCCCTGCTTCTGGCCGTGTTCGCCCTGCCTGTAGTGTCAGTTTGTTCTGCCCCCGGCAGGACGCTCATCGCCCATAGCCACAGACCTGATCACATGGAACGCTCTGCATTAAACCCTCCTACCTACAGGACTGAGATTAAATAAACTAAGTCCAGGATACTGGAGGAAATTGTTGCTGTATAAACATAAGCGCACAGCATGTGTTTTTTAAATCTCTCTTTCTTCACCTAATTCTGAAACTGGAATTGTACTTCCACAGTTAGCTGTGTGTCCCTTGTTATTACAATCAGTAGCTCTCATTGGAATTTGCGTTTAAAAACTTCTCGACTCTGTGAGAGAAAACTCTGGCCTCGTAGTTCCTTTAATTCTACTCTGTGCTTTGCATGGAAACTGTTCTGCTGTTTCAGAAAGTCCTTGGATTTGTTGTAGCTGTTTCTGAATCTAATATTGGTATAAATAAAGCACAAGGAAGAAAGCTTTCCTCAGCTAGCTGACAAGTAGAAATAATTTGTCTGTGCCTGTTGTTTTCAGTTATGAAAAGCACATTTAATACATTTCAGTTTTAATTTATTCATGCCTTCAATGTGTTCACTGCACACAAGACCATAAACATTATAAAATACTAGACCAAAAAGCATTAGAAAGAACCTAAAATGATCAAAAATATATTTACCCCCTTCTGTGATCTTATTATTTCATGTAAACCACTGTGATTTCACACTGAAATAATTATCATTAGTCCAAGGCACCCACACACATATACACATACATGTGCACTCAAGGAAAAAAATGTTACTTTCAGGGGATGTTATCTCACCTTTGTGATCTCTTAGAGTTGATTATATACACCCATTGTAAAAGAAACAACTTCAATTAGCTATGAGAACAATTGTCATTTGCATTCTGACGATAATCAAAAGCCATAGCTGGGCTTAAATGTTTCTAGTAAAACAGTATTAAAGACTTTGGGTTTGATTTAAACCATTTTCACACTGGAGTTCATTGGTATGATCAGTGTTTGTCCACAAAAAGGCTAATTTTGGGGCACTCACTGTACAGGTAGGGTCAAATAGCAATAGGGTTTCCCTTTTTTCATGCAAGCAGTTACCTTGTTCTTATTTTCACACCTGTATTTTCCATCTAGATGCATTTCAAGGTTTTGTTTATCCTTTGGTCTATGCCATAAACACAAATATCTTAATTTTTAAGACTTTTAATGAATGGCTTAATTTATTTGCCAGTGAGAACATGCCACACACAGACACATACACACACACACATGATCTTTCCACCACACAGTACTGAAAGCACATGGTCTGATTACCTTTACTATCCTAATGAGAGTTTTCAGCTGGTAAATGTGCAGCTGCAGGTCCATGCGGTCTGTCAGCCAGGTGCAGACAACGCTCATCGAGCTGGTGTACCATTGCTGCAAGAGAGACAGGACTTCTCCAGCAACCACCCCAGGGCTGCGTGCTGTGCCCCGGGTAGTGGGGGCTGCACCCAGCACCCCCTCAGCACCCACCTGCCCCACCAGCCAGCCTGCTCACGGGCTGTGACAGACTTGGAGACAGACAGCTTTTTTTTTTTTTTAACACAGAATTTTCATGCATGAGCTTTTAAATTTTAATAATTAAATAAAAAAAATAATAACAACAACAAACTTATTAGGAGGGGCCAACAGCAACACCACAATGTTTTTGTGATCTGAGGCTTGCCAGCAACGGCGAGCATGTGGCCCAAAACATTTTTTAACTTGTTCCCCCCCAGCAGTGAGAACCCAATCCTGCCTTTAAGTGTGTCAGACCCACACTCATGCTACTTACCGTCTCAAAATTCAACCCTAAGAAGCCACGGGGCGAGTCTGGCTCCCTGATGGTGAGCAGAGGGGAGGCTCATGCGGGGCAAGGTTTGGCTGCAGGTGAGGATGCTGGTGCAAGCACCTACAGGCACCTGCCCAGGCAATGCTTGGGTGTCACCCTCACAGATATGCAAGATGCAAAAGGAGCAAAGAAATGAGCTTGTTTCAGGCTGCTGAACTCCCGGCCCCCCCCAGGGCTGAAATGTTGCTGTTTGTCTGTGGCAGAGGCTTTGCAGCTCTGTGGCGGCAGCCGCCAGCCCCGCAGCGCAGGAGGTCTCTGGAGGGCTGTGGATCAGTGCCCTGCTCACACAGGGCTGGCACTGCCCATCTCATGCCACGCAGGAGAGCAGAGAGCCCTCGAGAGAGAGGGAAAAGCTGGTGGGGAACACAACCCCCCCCGAGTGCTCAAAACGGGTGATTACAGTGGTCTGCATACAGAACCCCCCCGTGCCTCTGTATGCACAGTCACAGGCTTCACTTGCCATCTCTTGCACACACACACACACACACACACACACACAGAGCCAAACCTGTACTGCAGACCAGCTACAATCCACCTAGAAACAAAGATTAAAAAAAAACCCAACTCCACCAGACCAGTTCATTAAAATCTTGACCAAGGGCTGTCCAGTTTAGTCCAACATGCACAGTTTAGTCCCTCTCAACTAGACTAAAACCTTGCTTCAGCCTAAGCAGGTCATGACACTCCCCCATCCCTGCACCCTTGGGTGGGGGTCTCTCACACAGAAATGTGCCCTCGTCCCTCCAGTTGCTGAAGCTGCCGGAGCATCAGGGGAATGGAGACAGCTGAATATCCTGTAATTGCAAAACTGAGGCCAGTGACTGGTCACCCTCCACCCTTCAACACTGGCTGAGAAGCCAGAGCCTGCCTGTTGGATGTGCTGCTGGACGTGTGGCTCCAACACCATCAGCAGCCACTGGGCAGGGCTTAGCTGGCAGCATTGGGCCCACAGACACAGCTGTCCTGCAGCACACACAAGGCTCATCTAGGCCAACAAATGGGTCCAACCAGCCCAGCATCACATCAATGTAGGCTCAACACACATTACTGAACTGTATGGTAAGGCACCTCCCTCCAGCAGGAGCAGACAGCAGAGGTTACTCATGTTGCACAGGGAAGGGCTCTTCCCCCTACTTCCATGAAGGTGTTTGTGTACTTCTATTTCTACATTACTTCTTCATAAAATGGAGAAAATAAAGGGATGGGAGAGTCACCAAAGAACTGGCATGTGGTGATCTCTTGCTCAATGGTTACATCTTGGGTAACTTGTGGCAGTTTCCTGCTGGCCCATCATCTCTAGGACACAGACGTGGCAAGAGCAAGGAGCTCAAACGAAACTCATTGAGACAGGCAAGCAGGAGCTGTCTCCACAACAGGAGTCAACCTCAGATACTGTTATCTGTCACCTGAGGTCCTGACGTCAGATCTGGGTTGAATTGTGAATGAAGCACCCTGGTTAGCTGCTGTAGGGCTGGCCAGCATCACAGACATACACATAGTCTGGTGGGTCTTCATACCTTCCAATCCCTCAGCTCCCTCAGACTGGTCTAGTGGGAGGTGTCCCTGCCCATGTCAGGGGCATTGGAACTAGATGATATTTAAGGTCCCTTCCAACTAAAACCATTCTATGATTCTAGGTCAGAGCATCCTTGGAGGTCCAGAGAGCCCTGTGTGCCTGTGGGTGCTGGCACAACAACCCAGGACAGCCAGCAGCCAGCTGGGGATGGGGGGCACAAAGTGACTGCTGTCACTGGGGGATCCACCTGGGTTCCTTGCAATGCTGGGGGCCCACGTGCATTAACAAGAATTTGTTAATGTTTATAATGTTAGTTTTCTGCAATCAGCGTGCTTAAATGAGCCATGCTCTTAGGTGACATGAGCTGTGACCCAGGGCCTCCTTCCACCACCTCTTTAAATCAAACCTGCGGAGGAGCAAAGCGACCCTACGTTGTACACACCCCCTCTCCCTTCCACAACACAACCTGCCGTGCCTACGGCACCTCTCTACGAGATGAGAAGTCCCCATGGGGCAGGTCCTGCCATTTCTGGTTGTCCCACGCCACGCACGGCTGGAGGGGTCTGAAACAGAGTTCTAACCTCTCTCTGGAGGTTATCAGCAAGGTGACTTCGCTGCTGTGAGACCTTCAGGTTAAGCAAAATGAGTAATTTTCCTGTTTTTCTAGTAGGCACCTGAACACGCAGGATTCTGGGGAGACACAAACTCCTCTGGGCCGATTCAAATCGTACCCCTCTCCTTTGAGCACTGGCTGACAAGGGCTCAGCCAGGCGTAGTGCTCAGCTGCATGAAAGGAGCTCTCTTTCTCAAAGCTAAGTTACTCCAAAGACTTTCTGCTTTATAAGAAAAAGACAAAGTCTAATTCATTGATCTTGATACACAAAACCATCACGTCACTTCATAGAGCACACACCAACTGCTGAATTTAAGCCCTGCATATTCATAAAAATAAGTTAGCCCATAAATTAAACGTTCCCTTTAGCTATCACTAGTGTTGATGTGCTATAAGACGCACAAGCCCTCTGATTCATGACTAACCTACCAAAGAAGATAACATTTGCATATGATTATGTTATTAAAAAACAACAACAAAGCCAAATGCTCCAAAAACGTGATCATTTCAGACAAAAGAGCACAGCACAGTCCTGCTGTGACACTGCCCAACTCGCCCTGCCCGTGGGGTCTGCCTGGCCCCAGGGGGCAGTGGGGTGCACGATGGAGACACGGGGTTCCTCAGGGCTCCAGCCTGGCTGTTCATCCCCCTACACAAGGTGCAGAGGGCACAGCCCAAATCCTGAACCTCAAGGCCTTGCCATGGGGCTGCAACACATTTCAGGCATGCTTCTGGAGCGCCAGCTAAGCTGTGGCATAAGGGCACCAAATTAACTGGTATAAATATACTTTCAGAAAACTCCTCACACCTGGTTGTAAAGAATGAGTAGACCTCACTGATGCTCCCAGGCTCATGGACCTCAACTCCACATGTAACTCCCTGCAGCACACACAGGCAGGACTGATGCTAGCTGGCATCCCTGCCCACCACTCAGAGGACGACTCACACTCGGTCTGGGGGCACAGGGTGAGGAATGGCTGTGGAGGGTGCATCCTGGTGGGTGCCACACACGCCCAGGGATGTCAGCAGGGAAGGGACCAGGGCTCCCGCAGAGGCACACCATGGCCCCTGCTGCCTGCTGCACCACCTGACCTGGCAGCCAGCAGAGGCAATGCAAACAGATGCCCTTCGGGTGCTAGCAGAGCCCAGGAACAGCAAGTAGCTACCATATTTTCATGGCTAGGACTTTAATCCTGCCTTCAGGTTAGTTCTTCTGTTCCTCTTCTGTCTTTCACAGCAACACCCATTGCTGGGTGCTAGCAAGGGGAGATGAAGTGGGCCACGGGCTGGCTGGGCTGCTCCTGGACAGGCACTAAGAGGATCTGAAGCATGCCAAGGGGTGGGCTTCCAAGGATGCCCATCCAACACTGCAACAGCTCAAGCAATAAGCTTCCTCATTTCCCCCCCCCCTTTTTTTTTGAATGCAAAAGCATGATCAATAAGTTGCTGAAATAGCAAGTTTGTCTCTGAATACATAAATTGCAAAAATTGATATGAATAAATCTGCAAGTAACACACTGAGTGTGGCACATTTTATCAAATCAAAAGCCCTGTGCTGGGTTCCTGCGCTTTCCGGGAGGTGGTGTCATTACACATACCCAGGAACATCTGCAAACCCCCATCTCCTTTGGTGTGAGCTGAATGGAAGCATGACCTCCTGTTCCTTGCCATGAACCTTGAGTTCACACTCATATTTTACATGTTACAGGAAGCCACAGCTCACCCCAGGGGTGCTGCAAACAGAATCTCGTAAGCCAGATGCAACACTGCTTCTTAAGGCACCTGAAGGAGCTGTATTCTTCATTCAAAAGCTTACATACTAGTAGCTTAAGGTCACTTCAGCTTTTGTAAAGAGTGGGACAAAACCAGGAATGCTTATAGGGCTGGGTTGTCAGCAGGGTAGCAGAGGGATTACAAGGAACCTGTGACTCTGCCTCTTTCTGCCTTTACTGGTAGTTTTTTTGTGTGTGAACAAGTGCCATACAACAGATTGAGGCTGGTATAAAGGCCTGGGACTGTGCAAGAGCACCCCGCTGAGCCTCAGCTGTGCTTGCAATTAGCAATAGGCATGAAATGATTATTGTTGTGGTGGCTGATGGCAATCTGAAGTGACAAGTTTTATGGGGGAAGTTGTAGTAGGGATGTTCGGCAAGTTTCTGCAAACCATTAATCGAAGGCTGCAGCACAGTTTAGTCAAAGCTATTTTATGTCATTCCAAAGGTCTCACAAGGATGCTGAAAGAATATTTTTCTGCTCTCAGTGCCTTGGAATGGAGTTTTTCTAGGTCAGGGATTCTTTACTGCCCTATTTAGTGTCAAAAATACCCATTTGCCTCAAATTAGCAGAAAGCTTGTAGTTAAGGGCTAGAGATTAGGCATACAAAATTACTCAGCAGGTGACTGCAGGGTGGATTTGGG